CAATAAAAGATGTATATACTCGTGTATCAGCTAGTAGGTAAAAGGGAAGCCCGCCGTATGTCTAGACGGCCAAGGCTCAAAGGATATGTGGTAAATTAAGTTAGGTGTTATATTCACAATTCATAGTTGCTTGGAAACCTTAATATTCGATTTACCGTATTGAAAGTCCTGTTATTGCGGAGAGAATAACGTTTTTTTTTTCAGTTCCATTCAAATAAATCGATTGCCTATTTTAACCGATTTTAACCGACTTCAAAAAGGAAGAGGAAGAAATTCGCCTGTTTTTTTTAATGTACGTGTACGTTACGGAAGATTATGCTGATAAAAGAATTGTACCAAAAAACCGGTTCAAGTCAGATTTAATAATGACGATAGCAATCCAACGCTCATTGTGATAAAAAATATATTCGTGAATAATGTCATCTTTAGATTTGCAAGTAAAGTCCGTAATCGGGGAAGATTTCGCGATATATAGCAACGAATACATACCTATTAACACGAGTTACATAAGAAAATTATTTTTATTTTACATACAAGACAGAAGTTCTTTGTTATGTGATTAGAAATAAGATAACCCTCTTGAATAACAGAAGTCAAACATCAAGGACATAAAAACGATGTTAATTTATGAAAACTCACACACCTACGTGAAGAATAAAGGGGATAATAACAAAAAATAATTAAACGTATGAAAACATTATCATCAGGGTACAGAATACGTCGCTTGTACGCTGGCAATATCCCAAGACTATTGTCGATGTGCCGGCGGGGACAAAGTACCATGGTGGTACGAAGTCAACGGCCTAGACTGGCTACTTCTAAAACGGCAATTAATTTAATTTCCCTGATCATTAATACTAATATTCAGCTGATAAGACCGACCACATAACCCCGTAACGTCAACCGAAAACCTTATGCAAATCGTTATTTTTGCACGGTGTGCGTAGTGATAGCGACGGATTATAATGTGTGCAATTAAATTTTGGTTATATTTTTTTTTCTTCAATTATCAACTATAGAAATACACACTTTCCGCTAACCACAAAGCTATATGAATAATTACCGAGATTAATTTAAATACATGCAAAGAGATTTTTTTGCAATAGCACATTAAGTCGCAATGCTATTCAAAATTGACTAATTGAATGCAAATTATTAACTTTTTCACACGTTTCATCGTTTTCTCGTACATATATTTGTAAGATTTGACCCCCCGCTATTATTTACATCAATCATGTCTTGACAGTGTTGAGGGAATAGCATCCGCCATGTGGTGCCAAGTCGTTGGACTGTCAATTAGTTCGTCACGGGGGAACACATTTGTTCTAATACAGTACTGTTATTTCAGTTTTTCAATTACCCAGATATTACCAAACTTCTTTTTCTCGTAAAAAAAATTAGTGGTATACTTCTGAACTTTATTTCCTACCGTTGGCGTCGCCAAGAGGGGAGGAAGCTGTCTCGCCCTTAGATTATGCCGTAAAACACATAAAAAACATACAGACGATTTAAGTAACTCCTTCTTTTGGGAAGTCGGTCAAAAATCGAGACGACCGAGCTTAAATAATCTGCTAGCAACAACAATGTTTCCAAACATATTACAGTCTCCATATATATATCACAAGAATAAACGCCCTCTACGTGATAATCAAGTAATTGGTCGACTAAGCACAAGTGAATTATAAAATACCTTACATTTTAGTATATTTAGTTGAAACCGGTAATAGATAAGTATACCTTTGGCGGTTATCGTAATAATGTAAAATATAAATAACGATTAGGGTGCGACAATCGTACGTGCAAAGTTTATACAGACTTGCGTCGGTAGAATCGACGATAGGTAACCGATTTCAATTTACCTAAATGAGATAAAGTGAAAGATTTTCATTCTGCTTTGAATGTGCTTTTTGAACATGAGAAAATTAGTTTTATATATGTACCAATTTTGGATATATTAAACTGTTGTAGAATTATCGAGTAAACATCAAAAAAAAATTAATGCATCCCAGAACCGTAACTATTTCCGTGATCGAAACTAGCCTATGTGCTCTTCCAAACTATCGTCTTCATCTATGCCAAATATCCTTCGAGATCTGTTCAGCAGTTTAGTTCACAAATTCTAACAAACATTCATCCATCTTAACTTTTGTATTTATAATTTTATAAAGTGGGTTATGTGCCATTTTTCCAATAGACATTTACCTACTGTGGAGATGCAATCAGGGATCACCACTTTCTTTAATAAATTGATGTTACAAGCATAGGCAAGTTACATTTGATTGCATCATCATTTAACACATTTGACAATCTTTCGAATGCAACATCATTAGACACTCTATAAAGTAAAATTACTTTACTCAGTTTCTGCGTCACATATCATAAAAATAATCTATGAAGATTTAGATAACTTTTTACAGCACTGTCAAATACTTTTGCACTTAACTACAATTTGCATAAAACGGGCCAGTATTCATAACTTCCGGAGAATATATACAAATATTTAAAATTTTAGCAATGCTATTCATCTTATTGTTGACATTAGTTACTTCATAAAATAACTACTAAATATTATCAACACACAATTCTTAATGTTGGTCAGAAATGTTGGTAAAACAATAGAAGCCATTTGAAAATATTATATTAAACAATAAAATTCTTTACTTATATCTGTTTGTCCTAAATAAATAATATGCACTTTATGATAACCCAAGTAAAGAACAAGATGAGGTCAATTAGTGAATTACATGTTAACTTTGTACATTTAACATTCTCATTCCCTATTTGTTTTTAAAATTACATACATCTTCATCTAGGTCATTTATTGTCGTGGTAATGAAGCTTTTAAAAACATTTATTCATATATAAAAATTTGATTGTGCACTCCTGATGCATTGATTTGCATTGATGAATGTCTTAAGTAACACTATTGACTAAAAGGCCAATTTTCTAAAATCATAAAATATGATATGTATAAAGAATAATTTTTATCAACACTTTTTAAAACAAGTTGACAAAAAATTATGACCTAATAAGTTCCCAAGAAAAATTGGCAGAGAAATGGAAACATTGTGTGAGATGTTAATTACACTGAATTTTAACTGTGATATCTCCTGTACCACACATTGTCTCTTTCTTCTCAAAAGAGAATGAAAGGAATGTCAATATTGTTGTAACACAGCATGACACCAGTGGAAACTCACAATGAAATAGCATACTCTCCAAGTAAGAAAATAAGTTTAATTTTTAACAAGAATCTAATAAGAAAATTACAATTATACTAATAACATTGTATTTTTTAAATTAGAACAGTTTTTTTATTTATTGAGTAAAATAATTAAATGTCACCTACATTTAATTACCTTCAGAATTAGTTGTGTTATTTTTTTACTAATAAAAATTTGGTATTAATGTAATATAAAATATTGGAAATTCAAAAAAATGTAATAAAAAACCATGTGATGTCATAACAGTTTGATTAATTGAATTATAAATCACATTTAATTAGATTTAAAAAAACATGATTTATTATTTTCGTTTCTTGTTTAATAAATTGAAGAGACATACAAAATTACTTGTTTGGTTTTTTAGTTTAATCATTGACAGTTGAAAGTCCATGATAAGAGGGGTTTTAATTTTTATTTAAGACAAACCTTTATTCTTATAGGTTAATTTGCAAATGCAATTATAATTATTTGTCCTCCTATAATACTACTTCTTTATGTTTTAATACCACACAAATGGAATCATGCAATAGATAGAATAGTTGTGTAATAAATTTTAATTTCAAGCAATTACTATTCTATAATTACGTTAACATCTTTTTACCTTGAATGATGTATTGTTTTATCTAATATTTGTTGTTTCGATACTTTTATACATTATTAAAGGTAATAAATTGATATTAGACGAAAAAATAACAAATTGAAGTCACATGTTTTAATAACAGTCACATGACTGCAATGCAGTCCATGCAGGTTTTAAAATTAAATATTTTTTTACTTAGATCAATTGCTCAATGTTACATAACTGAGGACATGACCATTCAAACCTTACCTTTGTTAACATTTTCGCTGCCACTTTTTTCATTCACATTGCTAGTACCTTGACATTTTTTCACTTTTTGGGAAGTATGTTTCGATACATTATCGTCATTCACTTCACTACCGGGAGCCATAACAACACGAGAAATTAATCCGGCACTGACTGACCGCGACGAGCACGGTACCACACTCACTCAGCTGAAAAATACATGCGGTGCAGTTAAGGTTCAATTTTCTTTAACATATCCAAAAG